ATATGTTTGGGTGGTAGAAAGCCTCCATTCCTAGGTCCACAATATACACGGTAGCCAGACCCCATAAGTCTCAGCTGTGCACATACCTTTATATAGGTGATTGGGGTGATGCTCAGGGCTCTCTCTGGTTCTTTGTACCTGCTGCTGGGTAAAAAGGCCGAGTACTGACAGAACACTATAAAAAGGTATAAGAAATGCCTGTGTGTTTTGAAAACCCAAGCTAGCAGGGGGCACTCAGTGGAGACAGCTTACCTGGTAATCAGGAAGCCAGGTGGTGAGTCTTTACACACTGCCTGGCTTCCAGGTTAATCAGGAAGCCAGGTGGCGAGTCATTACACACCGCCTGGCTTCCTTAATGGGACTTCCAGTATCGGTATTCGGTACCGGCAAGTGTCGGAAAAAAATTATCAGTACTCGATACCGAAAAACTGGTATCGGTGCATCCCTAGCTGTAATTCTACTTGCAATTAAGAAAGCAGCATTACATTGTTCTAGGACAGTGGTGGCGAACCTATGGCACGCGAGGCCCTTTCTGCTGGCACGCGAGCAAAGGTTCAGGCCCCACAACATTAAGGCAGCCGAGCTGTCTAATGTCGGCAGGCGGGCGAGCGTCGGCAGGCGGGCGAACGAGCAAGAGGAGAAGGGGGACGGAGCGGCAGGGGGTGGAGACAGAGGGAGATGGGGGACCCCCCTGAGATCCGGCAGACTGCGGGGTCTCTGCAGGATCTGTGGGGGGCCTTTACAGATCTCAGGGGGGCTGTGCAGGATCTGTGGGGGGCTTTGGAGCCTGCAAACCCCCCCACAGATCCTGCAAAGCCCCCCTGAGATCCGGCAGACTGCGGGGTCTCTGCAGGATCTGTGGGGGGCCTTTACAGATCTCAGGGGGGCTGTGCAGGATCTGTGGGGGGCTTGGCAGGGTCTTGGGCCTGTGCAGGATCGGTGGTGGGCTCCGCCCACCATAGACCCCGCAGAGCTCACCACAAATCCTAAGCCCCCCTGAGACCACAGTTTTCCTGCTATGCTAATATACAGTGTTTGCACTGTATCCAGCGACTGACAGGTCACGCAAAAAGTATTAAGCAGGAAGGGGTGGGGTAAATTTAGTGGGGGTGGGGGCGCCCGAGTTTTGCCTTGCCTAGGGCAGCCCCAATACACCACTGCGTTCAGGGACCACCAATTGAAATAGATCCGACTGACCCGGATCGCCTTGGTATGCGATCCGGGCCAGTAACACTTCCGCA